GTATAAATTATATTTTCATATTATATGTGGTTTTAGGAGGAGGTCTCTGTCTCACTTCTCATGCTGCCATCTTTAATCCCCCATGTTCTGCCCTCCTATACAGTTTTAGTATACATTTAAAGAAGTCTTTCAGTGATTACCCGAGAGACAACAGTATGCATCTATGACTTATTTGCATCTACTTTTAATTAGTACTATTAACACTTCCTTAACAATGCAAAAACCCTACAAAAGCCTAACTGAATTTACTTTCCTGCCCCCTTTTGTGTGGTTGTCATATATTTTACTTCTGCATATGTTTAAATCCAACAAAATATTGTACTTAATGTTGTTTCAAAATTTGGCATTATTTATTCATTTCAACCATTCCATGTTTCCATCTAGGACCACTTTTATTCAGCCAGAAGAGCTATTAGTATTTCTTAGACCAGAGATCTTCTGAGAATTAATTTTCTCAATTTTTTTTTATTGGAGAAAGTCTTCTCCTCCTTTTAAAGTTAATTTATAGTAGTTTTAGATTTCCAGAAAAGTTGTAAAGATAGTATAACTTCCTGTATACTCTTCAACCAGTTTCTCCTATTATTAACATCTCACATAAATATGGTCTACTTGGCATCATGAATGAAGTAATATTAATACATTATTAAGTAAATTCCATAGTTTATTCAAATTTCCTTAGTTTATACCATTTTCTATTTCAAGATACATGAATCTAGTTGTCATGAATCCTTAAGTGCCTCTTGGCTGTGATGATTTCTGAGATCCTCCTAGTTTTTTATGACCAAGCCAATTTTGAGGATTTCTGGTAAGATATTTTATAATAATGCCCCTCAACTGAAATGTCTGATATTTTCCTCCTGGTGCGACTGGGATTATGGGTTTGTGGAGGGATACCAGACCTCAAGTGCCACTTTCATCACATCATATAAAGAATACGTACTATCATAGTGACTTATCACTACTGATGTTAACCTTGGTCACCTGGCTGAGGTGGTATCTATCAGGTTTTTACCCTGTAAAGCTCCCCCATATCCATACTGTCCTCTTTCAAAGGAAGTCACTACACACACTCAGCTGACACTTAGGTAATGAGGAGTTATGTTCTACCTCCTGAAAGATGGGTTACCTTCATAAATTTATGAATTTACCTTAATAAATTCCTCTACATGGGAAATATGTTCTCCCTCCCCTTGACTTTAGTAATATATGTATATCAATATGGGCTCATGAATATTTATTTAATATTTTGGTTTATAACCCAATACTAATTTATTTATTTTACTGTTCAAATTGTTCCATCTCTGATCACTGGGAGCTTTTTAAGTTGGCTCCTGGAAATTCCCCCATTATTGTGAGTTTCTTCTTTTTTGAGGAATTTGATTACTATCTGGGACTTTAAGATGCTCCAGACTCATTTTGTGTATTTCCTGCTTCAATTGTTGAATCAGCCATTGCGTCAAGGATGCCTGGTAACTCCTATTGGAGAATGTTATTAGAAACAAAGACCTAGGTACCAGGTATATTCATTGACACTGAGGTGTCATTTCCTCTTGGCCATCTCAACTGACAAAGCAAGGAAATACATATGTGTATACCAACTCACATAATGCCTTTCATTTTTGAAAAATATTTTCTCTGGGTATATAGTTCTAGGTTGATAGTTTTTCCCCTAAAAACTTGAAATTCCACTTCCTTGTCTTCTGGCCCCAATTTTTTCTGTTTCAAACTCATCTGTCAACCTTATTTTTATACCCCTGAAGGTAAAGTGCCCCTTTCAAAAGTTTTAAGAAGTTCTAAAACAGCAAAAAGTCATAACAAAAAACCTGGGAACTGGAAGAATTTCACTTTCAGAGTTGTCACATTATTTGAAATGTCCCAAATAGATAAATCCATAGATAGAAAAGCAGACTAGGGGTACCAGGGTTTGAGGGGAAGGGAGAATGGGAGTGACTGCTAATAGGTAGGGGATGCTTGACAATGAAGATACAGAACTATTTAAAGAGATGAGAGAAAGATGGGGGGAATACATGCAACAATTTTTAAAAACGTATTTGCTAATCATAATTGGAGGTAGTAGGATTACTGTTGTTACTCTGAGATTGTTGTATGGGCAAAGTGGGATAAAGCAAGTGAGGAATTAAGGAACACTAAATTCATAATCCTCTATATCCTTGACAGCCAAGATTTTAAGTGTGGAAGAAAGGAAATACAAATGTAATGCAGACGAGGTAAGTAAAAACTGTAGTCTTGACCTTGTATTGGAAATAGCAGTATAAACTCATGTTTTATCTGTATGTGTGTGCATGTGAGTATATACATTTTGTACCCTGCTCTGCTCACTGAAAAAGTTGAGAAATGATAACCAATCCAGGAGCAGTGAACATCTGTAGGGGTCAGACTCAAGTCTTGACACACCATTTCCATTGAAAGAAATCAGGAAGTGGCTGATTCCAGGTGTGGGTTCAAGAAAGGTCTGAGAGGAACCTGAGACAGGTGGACAGACTGAGAGAGCAAGGAAACTGTCACCACACTGGGTTCACGCGAAAAGGAGTCAGGAGCCAATTAAAGAGAGTGCAGATGGGACAATTTGAGCTTTAGTGAGAATAAAAACCGCACTGGGCTGAGATCCATCGGAAAAGCTTATTACATCTATGAGTTCATAATGAGCTCATTAAGTGGTACTTACGTAGAAAGGATATGAAAGCAATGGGCGCCTTCTGAGTGTGGCAGGGATGCCCTCAAGATCTTGAGATACGGATAAAGAATCAGGCAGAAAAGACATAACCAACTTTTCCTGTATGCTCGTATATAAGTAACAGCCGAAAGGAAGCATTTCCTCAGAGAATTATTCCAGCCAACATATGAAAACAATATGATGGACTTAAAAAATCATCATTGTATCCCTCCCAGTGAATGAATGGCGCTTTGGGCATTGAGAATAATGGGAGCTAACATAAAAATAAAGTGAAGAGATCACATGTGGTGTGCCTCTGATGAAAGAACACACCACCACCTGCAGTCCAGGCAAGAGGATTGAGTCTGCGTCTGATCCAGTCTTTGGAACCGACTGTCAATTTGCAGGAGGTACGGGGTGTGCGGTCAGCAGCAGACTGTGGGAGACGCTGCAAGTCAAATGATTCGTATGCTTCACAGCTGTATTATAGGGAAAATAATGGGAAGAAAAGGGAACCAAGGGGCTTAAAAAACATACCCAATTTTTAAAAATTGGGAAGACTACATACACAACAGTGTCTCTGGGTAGACACTTTGGTGATTAAACCAAAAGGAAACACAAGAAGTGATTACTATCAAGTGAGCAGCAGGGTTAGTTTGGGGGTGAGGATAGAGGGCACTGACTGGGGTGGGCACTGGAGGGGCTTCTGAGGTGGCTGGAGAAGTTCCGGTTTTTGACTTGAGTCATAGTTACAAGGGGTTCACAGTAAAATAATTCACTAAACTATATGTTTGTTTCACGTAGTCTGTATTATGTTTTATTTCACCATAAGATTTTTAAAAAATAGAGAAAATAAGGTAAAAAAAGATTGAAGATGCCTGTGTTAAAAAAAATACTAGTGTATCAAAAATGTTTATCAAGGCATGCTGTGCTTCAGCTCCTTCCATAAGGTTAAAAATACCCCTTGATATTGGTGTCATGAAGATGAATATATTCTCAGTTGAAAATAACTTGGATATTCAAACAGTTGAATAGTCACGTGGTTCATATTAATAATGAAAAATCTCAGATCTCTTGTCACCTGAGCTGAGTGTCTAGCCATAACCTGTTTGCCTGCACTGTAACAAGAGAAGGGGTTGATTTAAATGACTGCTAAGATCTTTTCTGGTTCTGTAAGTCTGATAACCATTTAAATCATTTTATAACACTAAATATGCACCTTCTGCATTTCAGGATACTGATTTAAATGCATGTTGGAAAACGTTTTTCTGAAGGCCCTTTACCAGCCATGATACCTCCTTTGTGGGTCTCCCCTTGTGATGGCTTTCCTCTGGAGCTATAGGTGTCCAGAGGGGATTGCTGAAATAAAGTGCGCTGCAACAAAGTGTGAATTCCTGTGCAGTTGTCCAAAGGATGAGCTGGACCTATATTCCTGACATTGTGGGTAAGTTTCCAAGCTGAGAGAAGTACATTAATTTCAAACTGTTCTGTTAATATTTTATGAGGAAAATTACTCTTACAATATAAAACATCAAAAGAAAAGAGCCTCAAAGTAGGGATTTCATTTATCCAACAACATCTTATTCTAGAAACACAAAAATAAATGTGTGTCCCTAACTCCAAGAAGCTCAGACTAATGAGTAACCCAGTAACAGCTCTGGTAGAAACACAGACCCAGCACTACGACAAGCACAAGGAAACGCTGGGGGAAGCGGAGGAAGGTTTCACAGAAAAGTAGGGCTTTAAGGGATGAGTAGGGCTGCTTGTCAATGGCTGCAAAAGGTACAAAGGTTACAAAGAAATCTCACAAGTATGCATAAATGAAAACTAGCTCTTTAAGACAAGGGTTTATGGGATGGCCTGGTTACTGGTTAACCCTACTCGGTTTGGCTTCTGAAGCCATCAATCAGAATGACATCATTGTTGATCAGGCTACTCGGGAGGTGTGCATTTACTACCCTGTAATGAGGAAAAGGAAGTCTCAGAAAACCACCCCAGGCTTCTCAGGAGAGGAACGCCATGCTGGGGGCAGAGGCTGGAAAGCCCTTAATTAAATTCAACCACTGTAAGAAATACATCTACAGTTTCAGTGTGCCCCAGTGCTGCCCCCTCTGCCAGCAGGACATGGGCCCAAGGAAGCTGGAGGAAGCACCTGTTAGCATCTCTAATCCGTTTACCAATGGGCATCTGGAAAAATGCTCCTTCCTCCTCAGACCAACGCAAGGGACGTTTCTTAGGTACAGTGTTTCTTAAGTGTGACATTGAACTGTGCGAACTTTCCTTCTGTGTTTTAGTCACTAGAACTTTCTTTTCCTAATATGTACTATATGGTGTGAGGTTTGGTGGGTAATCTTTTGTGTTTTGGCATTAAATCCTAAAACGTAGGCCTCTTTTGTTTCATAAAAACAGAGGGTGTGCATAGTACAAGAATATATGAAGGTCAAGCCTGCTTATACAATTTTAAGAGAGAAAAATCAATAGGCTGGAAGTTTTTTACCCATAGATTTTGTGCTGACAGGCTAACTGGGAAAATGACTCAATAGAAATCTTATCAAAACAATACCTCTACTGCGAGTTTGCAATTTCTGTGATAAACAGGTACAACATACAAAGCCTGAAGAATGGCTGTGGATAGGCTATTTTATATGGGGTGAATGAAAGTGAAGACCAGAGCTGGTCAGCTGAACTGTGGATGCCGCCAGCCCTAAAGATTTCAGAAATCAAAAGAACGGGTTGTGCCCCTTAGCGTCCTGCAGAGTGCACAGATGGGATTGGAAAGGGCCGGCCGCAGCCCGGTTTGGAGAGCACGGATGCCCCTGCATGCTGGCACGTGCTTCAGGAGGCATTCACGCGTATCCTGGTGACCTAACCGCCGGGACCTCCACCTCTCCAAATCGTGATCTCGAGTGCTGGTTTCAGATAACAGAACGGGCTGACTATTCACTTCCCTGCTTACTAACTTTCAGTTTCCTTCTTGTCCTGGGGTGGATGAAATGACCCAAAGGGTGTAAAGGGTGCTGCGCCCTGACCCTCCCTCCAGAAGGGCAGTGCGGGCTTTCAGTCTGAAACGCCCCCGATTCCCATTCCGTCCAGACCAGCTCCAGACTCCAGAACTCTCTCGAGTCTCTGGACCCTCGTCTGCCAAAAGAGGATCCTGTTGACCTTGCAGAATTGCGCGGGTCAGCATGAAGGCACAAACCTGGTGCAGGCACCAGCCACGATGCCCAGCCAACGTGCTCCTTCCGACTATTCATTTATATTCAGTTCAGAACGTAACTGGCAGAAGCTTCATTTCCACCTTAATCAGTGAGGGAGCCCAGCTGTTTTTCAAGAGCCCTCATTCATGCTATAACTTGGGAGTCATCACCTGGCTGGATCCTAAGTTTCAGTGAAGTGGTTGAAATTTGGAAGTGATTTGCAGTAACACCTGTTCATTCAACAAATCCTTAAGGAGCAGCTCTGTGGGTGAAACGCTCAGGATGTCACAGCAAACAAGCCACAGCCCTGCTCTCAAGAAATGACATGACCCGTGGGAGGCTTTCAGGTTGGCCCCTAAAAAGCATTTATTTCTTCTGTGATGAGGTAGTGGTACCGATGGGCCTGGCCCCCTGGCATCCACAGAAGGGAGGTGGTGGTGGTTAAACAGGTTATATGCCTTGGCCTCCTCCTCTCCCCCCAGGTGCTCAGGCCGGGATCTGCAGAACCCCCACCCCCCAGCAGCCTCCTGCTCTCCAGACCCTCTAAGGCCAAGTTCCAGACAATTTCCTTTCCTTGCATCCAATTTCCAAACCCTCAGGACAGACTCCCACCACTCATCTTGAGATAATTTCACCTACTTTGTATAAGAGAACAGCCACTACTCACTGGAATCACTGAGGCTCTGATCTAATTAGGTTAGGATCACCCAGGACTGCCACATAGGGTTGTGCAGGTTGTGCACTGAACAGAGGTGCCTGACCAAGGTGGGCTCAGTGTGCGCCCGCTCGCCAAGGTGTGCACCCCGGGCAGAGCAGCACCTGCAGGAAGAACAGGCACCTTTGCTTCATTTGTACAAAGGTGGGAGAGAGAGCAGTGGCTCTGCCCCCTGCTCCTATCATATGCTTCTGTAGCATTCTGTTTCCCCCGCTTCACAGCACTTTACACTCTATTAAAAACTTGTTAAAACTCTGGAAGCAAGCAACCTCTGTGAGGGCAGAGACTCATCTTGTTTCTTGTTGTGTCATTAACCCTTCACTTGAAATGACAGGCTCATAGTTGACACATGATAAATATCTGTTGCGTGGCAGAGAAATAACCGAAGGGCAGTAGGGAGGGAGGGAGCAAATACCTAGGATGGAGGCAGGAAACGCTCAGGGGCCAATCCCGGGGTGGCGCTTGCACGGTGGGTGCACACTGCCACTGTTTTCCCCCAATTTATTCCCAACCTCTGAACCCACAGGCCCTCAAAAAACTCAAAGTGGCTGCAACAAGATGACCTGGGGGGATCACTCTGAAGAAGACAGGGCAGCCATTTGTGTCCTTGGCCATTTTAAAGCTTGGAACTGTTTGCTTTAATGAGGAACCAAATATCCAGACCTGTGTGTGGTCCGACAAAGGAGCTTTGTCATTTAAAAATTATGTCTGGTTTATTTGACACCTATAGGCAGCAAGCACTCAACAGGCATTTTACTCTTCCAACCAGCTTGCCAAGAGGCTTATGACATTCCCATGTTACAGATGAGGAAACTGAGATCAGAGAGAGAAAGTCAGTTGCTAATGTCCCAGGGCTAGTAAGTGATGACCTGGGATTGCATATGAAGGTTAAATGAATTGGGAGTTACAGATTTAGTAAACAGGTTCAGGTAAAGAATAATTTCAGCAAATGAGAACCATTCAGGAGGAGTGGGTGTGGCCACAGGCTACAAGACCAAAACAAGCCATTTTAGTTTTGAAGGTAGAGGTGCACTGAGATGCCTTCATAGTTCCCTCCCGACGTTAGCCTGAGCAATAGGCTGTAACGTCACACACGAGGCCAGACTAAGGAGCCCTTCAACAACTGACCCCTCGGGCTCCCCTGCTGGAGCCAGGCTTCAGGCTGGCATTGTGGTATGCCTTTCTGCTGGCCTTCCGGCACCCTGCCTTCAACACTGGGGGCCACAAGATTCTGGATGGAGGCCAGGGGAGTATTTTCTACCTCGGCTATACTCTTGGCTCCACCGGTTATGGAACGGCCTCCACTAACGTGGCCCCCAACAGCAAGTTCTGGCACAAGCCGAGAGAGGAGCCCCATCACTCTCCCACCACTTTAAATACTAACTCTTCATGCCGGGCATGTGCAAATGAGAAAAAATAAACTTATTTCTTTCAGGGATTATGATGGAAGGTCTGATCTGCATGTTGGGATAACCAACACAAACGGTGAGCACATTTTCACAGTATTTTTAGCTTAAAAAATTTCCATAATGTCAAGTTGGAGAATAGCAGTATTTCTGGAGAACAGACATCATGGCAACATTTTATGAGGGTTCCTTTGTTCCCTGCGGTTTCCTCGTGCACCGTGAGGAGATTGCTACCCTTAAAGAGAGAAATAAAATACTTGGCTTTACAGCAAGTTATTACTACGACAATACTATTTGAATGCTCTTCAATGTTTTCTTGGCCAAGATCATCACAAACCTGCAGGTATTACTGGGTTTTTTTTTTTTTGTTGCTGTTACCATTAATCTACAATTACATGCAGAACATTATGTTTACTAGGCTCCCCCTTTCACCAAGTCCCCCCTACAAACCCCATTACAGTCACTGTCCATCAGTGTAGTAAGATGCTATAGAGTCAATACTTGTCTTCTCTGTGTTGCACAGCCCTCCCCATGACCACCCCCCACATTGTACATGCTAATCGTAATGCCCCCTTTCTTTTTCCCCGCCCTTATCCCTCCCTTCCCACCCATTCTCCCCAGTCCTTTTGCCTTTGGTAACTGTTAGTCCATTCTTGGGTTCTGTGAGTCTGCTGCTGTTTTGTTCTTTCAATTTTTCTTTGTCCTTATACTCCACATATGAGTGAAATCATTTGGTACTTGTCTCTCTCCACCTGGCTTATTTCACTGAGCATAATACCCTCTATCTCCATCCATGCTGTTGCAAATGGTAGGATTTGTTTTCTTCTTATGGCTGAATAATATTCCATTGTGTATATGTACCACATCTTCTTTATCCATTCATCTACTGATGGACACTTAGGTTGCTTCCATTTCTTGGCTATTGTAAATAGTGCTGTGATAAACATAAGGGTGCGTCTGTCTTTTTGAAACTGGGCTGCTGCGTTCTTAGGGTAAATTCCTAGGAGTGGAATTCCTGGGTCAAATGGTATGTCTATTTTGAGCTTTTTGAGGAACCTCCATACTGCTTTCCACAATGGTTGAGCTAATTTACATTCCCACCAGCAGTGTAAGAGGGTTCCCCTTTCTCCACAACCTCACCAGCATTTGTTGTTTTTTGTCTTTTGGATGGTAGTGATCCTTACTGGTGTGAGATGATATCTCATTGTGGTTTTAATTTGCATTTCTCTGATGATTACCGATGTGGAGCATCTTTTCATGTGCCTGTTGGCCATCTGAATTTCTTCTTTGGAGAACTGTCTGTTCAGCCCCTCTGCCCATTTTTTAATTAGATTATTTGCTTTTTGTTTGTTGAGATGAGTGAGCTCTTTATACATTTTGGATGTCAACCCTTTATTGGATCTGTCATTTATGAATATATTCTCCCATACTGTAGGATGCCTTTTTGTTCTATTGGTGGGGTCTTACTGGTTTTTAAGAGGAAGAGAGATGTCTAGAGGGGTTGAGTTACTCATAATTTCATCTTGTGTTGGAACCAGAATCTGGATGCAGACCTTCTGCACCCCAATGAGTCTGCATGCTGCAGGGTCCTGGCAGGGATGTGAGGGAAATTGGGGGATGCAGCACCAGGACACCTGCAGTGATCCCACCTGAGGACGCAGAGTCTGCCGCCCCTGAACCAGGAAAAGGGCCTGGGTGTCCCCGTGGCAGGAGCTGTAGGCCTGGGTCTGTGAGCAAGGCCAGCCAGGTGAGGCAGCAGGTGAGGCCTCCTCACAGGTGAAGTTGGCCTTTCCTTACCCCCAGGAGGCAGGAGAGCCTGCTGCTGGGAACAGAAACCCAGGACTGGGCTTTTGAACTCAGACTTACCCACGTGAGCAGCCAGATTTACTGCCAATCTTTATCAGTGGAAATTTCTTGCTGACTTAAGGAAACAAGATAAACCCATTTGCAAATAGAGAATTTCAACAAAAATATTTGGAGATGATAATCCTGGCATCTATTCTTGTTTCCTGGAGGCAATGTCAGGACACTGGGGAGCAGGTGGAGTGAGAACTTGGTCACCCTTAAGGCAGAGCTTTGCTGGGAGCAGGGAAGAGAGGGGCTCACCTGCCCTCCTACTTCAGGCAAGACCCTGTGTAAATCTCTCAGCGGGGAGGCTGCCTCAGAACCTGATCCTGCAGGACGGTGGGCGGAGGGCCTCTCCCATCTGCTCTCTCATGGTGATCCCGCCTGGGTTTCTGGTACATGATGTTACCTGGGAGCTGCTGTCATTTTCTTTTGATATCATTAATATACAATTACATGAACATTGTGGTTACTAGATTCCCCCCATTATCAAGTATCCCCCACGTACCCCATTACAGTCACTGTACATCAGTGTAGTAAGATGCTGTAGAATCAATACTTGTCTTCTCTGTGCTGTACTGCTTTCCCCATGCCCCTCCCATTATGTGTGCTAATCATAATGCCCCCTTTTCCCCCTTATCCCTCCCTTCCCACCCATCCTCCCCAATCCCTTTCCTTTTGGTAACTGTTAGTCTATTCTTGGGTTCTGAGTCTGCTGCTGTTTTGTTCCTTCAGTTTTTGCTTTGTTCTTATGCTCCACATATGAGTGAAATCATTTGGTACTTGTCTTTCTCCACCTGGCTTATTTCACTGAGCATAATACCCTCTAGCTCCATCCATGTTGTTGCAAATGGTAGGATTTGTTTTCTTCTTATGGCTGAATAGTATTCCATTGTGTATATGTACCACATCTTCTTTATCCATTCATCTACTGATGGACACTTAGGTTGCTTCCATTTCTTGGCTATTGTAAATACTGCTGCGATAAACATAGGGGTGCCTCTGTCTTTTTGAAACTGGGCTCCTGCATTCTTAGGGTAAATTCCTAGGAGTGGAATTCCTGGGTCAAATGGTATTTCTATTTTTAGTTTTTTGAGCAACCTCCACACTGCTTTCCACAATGGTTGAACTGATTTATGTGCTGTCATTTTCTGAGGTCCCATTTGCAGAGGGGTGTGTTTTCCCTTCAGCTCTGCTTGCCTCTGGGTTTGGTTGCAGGAGTTGTGTATAATTACACCATGCATGGTGTCCAGCGAGATGAAGCAGGGTGGGAGCAGAGTATAAGCATCCCCTTACTGCAGCCCAGCATGTTTGGACTGATGGACCAGTGGGACAAGTACCTGGAAGACTTCTCCACCACAGGGGCCTGGCTGCCTCACAGGTGCGGAGCTGCCGAGATACCCGACTCCCTGGCCCTCCATCAGCACACAGGGGCCATCCCAGTTCACGGAGGGCTCTAAGCATGTCTAGGTCACGTTGAGCCTGTACCAAACCAGTAGTGCCTATAACAGGATTCAAGCAGGGGTTGAATTACTTTGGGTTTTCTGCAGAGCTGAGCCAGTGTGCATTCACACAGCAGAATCACAGTATTTTAAGAGCTGAAAGGACCAGAACTTGGTACTCTAGTTATTTTAGTTGTTTGACTAGGTGTATTTATATATTTAACATTCAATTATATGTACAGCAAAAGCCATAGTATATTCCCATAAAATCTTTTTTAATGTTCAAAATGTAAACATATCTAAAGCTTTTTATCATTGTTTAGCAAATTTGAAATTAATTTCTCAATTCTTTGCTCCCTCAACACTTTAGCTATATATACTTATGGATTTAAATGGTTTTGAGGCTTCCCTTTAAATAAGTATAGATACTGTGGGATACCCTGAAACTTAGAAATCGCTCTTAGATTCACCTGTAGAATCTAGAATTTCTGTGAAGTTGAGTTCCCCAAGCTGGCAGTTTATACACAACTGAAGTCAACACTCCGAACATCTGGGGAGTCCGCTCCCATCTGTACTTAAGTTGCAAACAGAAATAGCCCAAGATGCCACGTATCCCTCCAGTTGCACCTCAGAGGTCTGCTGGCCAGTGGACAGGGGCCCAGCTGGCGGAGTGAGGCCCCATCTCAGTTAGGAAAGCTCTCTGGTGGCTCCTCTGCCAGTTCCTGAGCAGCTTCAAGGCTAAGCCCCCTCTCAACGTCCTTGTTTTGGAAGGTACGAGGAAGACCACCACAACTGCTACAGCTACACCCTCACATTCATCAACTGTGTCCTGACCACAGAAGGCAGGGAGCTCCTGGACAAAGAGGAGTTCACGGAGAAGTATGTGATCCCGAGGACAAGGAAGGCTTCCAAATACATCACTCTCTACCGGGCGATAGAAGAGTGCGGCTTCTATGTGATTGACCACCCTGACTGGGAGCCAGGCCCTCCCCTGCGGGCGGTTTGTGCTAAGCACGCTGAACAGGGACAGGACGAAGGGGCTGCTACCAGTTAGTAGGCACTAGGGGTTTCTAAATGTGTTAGGCTGTGGTGAATAAAAAATGTACAGCTTTCTTTTAAGCACATTTTCACGGACTGCTGTATAAGAATTTATAAAATAAAAATTGCCCTGGGTTTTAAAAATTGTATGCCATACAATGAAATTATTTTCACAGTGGTTTGGTTTTTAAACAAATCCATGTTATCACATAAAGTGGTGGTATCTTTTATTCACAGAGCAATGGAAACTATTCCTATAAACTGATTTGAGCTGAACAAAGTCACCTTTTATTGTGAACAAAGGTGGGGATTTCTAGGAAGGCGAAGGAGACACAATTTATGAAGTACCGAGTACCTTTACCTCATGATTTTATTTAAAATAGCACATAATAACCTTTTGGCAGTTAATGCTAAAGAGAAGGAAAGAAGGCATGCAGGCAGACAGAAAGACAGAAAGTGTCAGAATATTAAGTTAGGAAAGGGCACTCCTTCTGAAAAGCCCTTCTTAGTGTATAGCACAACCCAGACTGGCAGTTCCCCAGCTCAACAGAATGCCAGTCTCTCCTCTTTTTTGCCTCACAGGACACAAGATTGGGGTGTTAGATCTGCCATTGCAAAGCACCTTCTGTGCCCACTTTAAATGCAAAATTCAGAAAGGACACCATGGAAGGCCTGTCTTCCCTCTCTAGCAGGAGGAGACAATTGGGATAAAAGCAACTATGAAGAAATAAGGTGACTTTTAATACATCAGAATTCATATCCCCAAATAATCACCCAACTATAAACAGCCAATGAGCAACACATTTCAGAATTCCTCTTTGGAAAGTGCTTCTGGAACTGACTGTGTTTTTGACCAAACTCTTCCACCTCAGCCTACTCCCCCAGCCTTGGCACCAAAGGATATCTCATTCCCAAGAACCAAATCCATCTTCAAGGTAATAATAATGACCTAGTAATAAAGATATTCAGAAAACTTTCCACAGATCTTAGAGCCTGTCTCTAAAGCGGCTTTTGACTAGTGTTTCAGCACTGGCAACGTCAGTGGAGAAAAGTGCATGGCGCGCTACTGTTTGCATTTGTGGATTCAGGTGCTGTTAAGAAAAACAAGGCTTCCTACAGAATATGATATTGCTTTAAACAGAACTGTGACTGCTATTCTGTGGTGTTCAAGAAGTCACAAAGATCTCAGCAGGGGACGGGGGATGAAGTATCAAGCTTGGGGAATACTCCAATGTGCCTAGTTCTTTTAACAGTCTATTTTAGGACTCTGCCTCTCTGGCCCAACTGTTGACCGTATTATTGGGAATCATAGCAGGTGCACTTAATGAACGCTCATTAAGGCCTCCACACCAGAGCACACACTTCTTACCCTTCCCTTTGAATCCCTAAGACCACCTTGTGAGGAAAGTGCTAACATTATGCCCATTATAGAGATGAAAGGGGAAACTGAGGAAATGACCTGCCCAGAGCCACACTGTGGCAAAACCAGAGGTCAAACCCAGGTCTGACGAAGCCGTGCACTTAACCCCGGGCCACGCAGCAACCTGAAAGCAACAGTGGTTCCTAGGGTGCGCAACGACTGTGTCAGCCCTTTGCCATCGTTAGAGAGGAAAGGAAGACAAGGGTTTTGCTTTCACTGGCATTCAAATATGGAAAAGACATAAATAACACAATTCAGATAAAATAAGAATTGTCAGTATCAGAAATGCCAACTCCATGCTTTCTCTTAATACTGCATCCCGTGATTTTCAAACAAAGCTTGAATGGTCCCCATGACCGATCTGAGGGGCTGCTCTCCAACCTGGAGGTGAATCGTACTTTTTCTTCCACTTCAGCAGGCCACAAATTCCCTACTTGTAAAATCACAGCGCCACCCTCCAGGAGTTCCCCCAAACAGGGAATCAAGCGTCGGAGTGACACCAATAGATGGCACTGTCGCTCAGGTTTGTAAAATGAAGAACTGAGAATGCTTCCACGGTTTCCTTTATCACAGCCGCTAAACGCTGACTGCAGGGTGAGAGGACTCAGCGTGACGCCAGCCCTGCTTGCCAGGCAGTCTCAACAGCTCCCCTGGCACCTCCCAAATGCACCTCTTCATCTCGTGTTCTGCCCTGCCCTGGGTACACACCCGCTCCATGAACGCTCATGGGTGAGCCCCCACCGGGCTCCTTTTCACAGCAAGGTCAGAGTTTGCCTCAGTGGTACTGATCTGCAAGACAAAAATGACCCACACAAGGGTGTTTTTTCAAAGCCTCTGCAGCGTGCATGGGTTATTCTTAAAACCAGGAAAACCCAAAAGACATCATTTAAAATCCCCCACAGTGGCCGTATCTAGCTCCCTTTGCCCAGGGGGTGCTTACTATTTCATTTACCCCCAACCCACATTTTCCCCGGAGCTATCTTCACTACTTGACCTCAAATTATTTTTTTAAATCATGTCCTTTCCCTGCTAGGGCATAAAGTAGGCTTTGCATTTCCTGGAGAAAATAATGATGGCAATGCCTACACTTTTGGTTTATCCATAAGGGAAAAAAGTACACCCACCATGAGCCAGACCTGTTCATAGGTCACATCATTTAGTCTTCAAAACAAGCTGGGAGCCAGGAATTATCCCCATTTCACAGCTGAGGGGACTAAGGTTCAGAGTGACTGGGCAACATCCGCACGACCACCACTGTCTTCCTGGCACAGACCTGGAATTTGGACTCAGGTGTTTCTCAGTCCATTCTTTCTACTCTAACAGAATGTGCATTTTAAAGGTTAGGAGAAAGTATTACCTACCCTTGCAATATTGTTTCTGAAAATGTAAAGATTCTAAAAAAATTCAAATACTTGAATGCTTTCACTCAGAAGAAATTAAGAGTGAATTACTCGGTTAGTTTAACAATTTCATAAATGTGCTCTTTCATGCCATGTGTTCTTAAGTGAGGCATTCCTGTATTTCACAAGAGTAAAACGACTTAATTTTTTGTTTATATATATAAAAGCAAAGATTTAAGATAAATTGACGGGTTTAAATATCTCTCAATTTTAGAAAAGGGCCTCAGGTACCATTTTAAGGATGGTAACATTCATGGTACAATTACTTGAGTCTAATCAGACTTCTAAAAATTCAATTGGTAAAACTGTAAATGGAAGGTGGGTGGTGGGAAGGAGAGATATTTCATTTCTTTTTAACTCAAGTACTCCCCTCCACAAGAAGAAAACTGTTAAAAACCACATTCAAGTTAATAGTAACTTAAAAAAATAATGAAAATGAAAAAATGCTTTAACAATAAAGGCAAAATAATTAAGACAAAAATTTTATTCAAGAAGTAACAATGAATGTTCAGACTTGAATATTATGCTCAAAAACGTAGGGAAACCTAAGCAGCTCCAGCCTGGTATACCACTCACACTGGTGTAATAACTGCTAAGTGTAACGTATGAACTGATTACCTTATAGAAGTGCATCTGTGGGGGACTTGGGACAGTAAAGGGACAGATGTCACCATCTCCCCTTACCGTTTGGGGACAAGGGTGTAAAGTATTAGCTTCAAAAACTGAGCTCCGAGAATCAACACACAATAGTCACCTGCACAAGTTATTGTCTTAACAGATGACAGGTCACTGTGGTTAATTAGCACACGAGGGTTTCGTCTTTCCCTCCAAACTGAATCATCATGGCTTCAGATGACTGAAAGTCTAGCATGAGTTAAGCACTGTGTTAATAAACACTTTGTAAAGACCAACTCACTGAATCCTCCATCTGGAACTAATAACATTCTTATTTTTAGTTTTATAAAAAATAGAGGTGAGATTTATTACATAAACCTAACTTTGAGTGAACAATTCAGTGGCATTTTGTACATTCAGTTGTGCAAACACTTACTTTCTCACCCTGAAAGGAGACTCTGCACCCACTAAGCAGGTGCTCCCAGCCACCCCCACCAGCCTGGTAACCACCAACCCGTGTTCTCTGCAGCTTTTTCTGTTGGGGGTGTGAAGGAATCATGGCTGAATAGTCTCCACTGTACGTGTGCATGGATAGCATTAACTTTATTTTTTAGGTGAGGAAACTGAGGTTAAGGCTGCAACTGAGCTAGTAGGTGGATGCGCTAGGATGCAAACCCGGATCCGACTCCAAACCAAGAAGTCCTTAGCAATCCTGCCCTCTGCCCAATGCCAATTAGAGACCGCGGAATTGCTGACACCTGACACCAAAGTCAGAGCTTCAGAAAATCCCCCCCAACTGTAAGCCACCAACTCAGTCTGAAAGCCACGGACTCAGTCTGAGGAGGTGGTGCCTTCCAGGGGTGCAGGTGTGCAGCTGCAGGACAAGGTACCGGAGCCCAGGACTCCCGGGGATGCTCCAGCAGCTCCAGGATGACTGCCCGATCCTAGCCGCGGATTGTCCAGGCAGCAGGATGAAGGCCTTAGCTCACTGCAGTGGCAAAGCAGACCCCCGGGCCGAGAAGGCCATCACCAGGTGCCCTCTCACCTCGCTCCACCTCCTGCACACAAACAAGCCTGCTTTTGTTATCAAATGGGCCTACTTTCCACAAACGCATTTTAGTTCTCAACCGACATTTAACTCTGAATATAAACTGACCCTGTGTCTTCTTGTCTGTGGCCACTTTGGTGGGCTTGAGACACTCCTGGGAAGGGAGGGAAAACATCACTGTTAGGTGCTTTTGACTTCTCCTTTATCCATGTAACCACACAGTGAGGGAAAGGTTATCATAGCCCCCATCATGGAGCTAAGAAAATTAAGGCTCCTGAAAGGCAAGTAAATTGCCCAAGGTCACACAACTACTGAGAGGCAGAGCAGAGATTTGAATGGTTGCTTTCTAGGAGGCTCAGCCACTACCCAGCCTTCAATACAATGATCTCTGGGGAAACTAATAGGAAGCTAAGAATCATACATTGCTCCCAGGTTCTTAACCTTGGATGAAGACGTGTCTTGACAGAATCTGCGAACCTCCTGGTGTCTGCAAAATCATATGCACGGCACAATCCTGATGAGGGGGGCCTCAGGCTGACCCCCAACCTTGAGGTGGGGGACCACCACTCGGCACATGCCCAGCCCCACCGGGAGCCATGGACAGCCCTCCTCTGGCCTCCACCTGATGGGCTTGCTTTCTGACTCCATGTGGTTTTCCAGACGGCAGTTATGTGGAGGTCTGGGGAAGGCCCTGAGAACAGGGCCAAGAGCTCAAGGGTCAAGTCCTCAGCTTGTGCTTCCTGGCGGTGTTGTTCAGCAGCCAGACCTCCCTCCCGTGGAGGGTCCCACCACCCACACTCAAAAGGCTGTTGTGGTAATGTAGGTGGGGCACGGGGAAGGCAGCATAGCACGGAGAAGACAAGTAGTGACTCTCACGACACTGACGGGCAGTGACTGCAATGGGGTGTGGGGGGACTCGATAATATGGGTGAATGTTGTAACCACAATGCTGCTCATGTGAAACCTTCGTAAGTGTGTATCAATGATACCTTAATTTAAAAAAAAAAGCTCCTTTGGGATAAGAAGATGGGTATTTGTTCCATCTCAACTCCTACTACCTGAATATTGACTCTAACAATTTGCAAAAAATGGTAGCCCAGTAAGAGATGATGTGTGTCAGAGCCTGCAGCAGTCTTCCAGGCCGTGAGGCCGGGGCCACAGGACCCAGTGGGTGCTGAGCTGACCGTCCAGGGTTGCACTGTTTGGGACGTGGTGTAGGATCACGGCGTTTCCCTACTTTGTCAAATGACAATGTCTCCTACGGAAGTGGAAAAAGCCATGAGGAAAGCAGGTGAGATTCAGGCCTACAATGTCCCCTACATTAGAAAAACAAAGTTGGAAGTGACTGTGTGTTCAGAAAGGTGATCTTATAGAAGCTTGGATGTTGGCCTTTTCTGGGTATGGCTTTTTGCACTGGGTGGCAAAATATAACTTGTGGAAGTGTTGGTTCCACAAAGGTTTACAGTGTTCTTGACTGTGGCATGCAATTTTTACAAAGCTTGTCTGGTTGTTGTACTGAGGACCCACGGCCCGTCAGCGCGATGAGCACTTGCTGGTACAGTGGGTGGCTTTGAACGCCTGGGAGAGATGGAAAGGGATGGAAGGCACAGAGGACTCGGTGAAGGATTTCAATTTTAAAGCAAGTCTGGAAAGTTTGAGATTTAAGAATCATGTAGGCCGGATGCTTTGAAGGGTGTGGGTGAAATAACTGCTCTCAGTGAGGCTGCGGCAGTTCCCTGGTGAACTGCAGAAAATCTGGGAGGTGGTTTTAGCACAAAGCAAATTTCCCATCTTGACAAACCTGAACTTAAAATATAAAAGCCACCTGGTACATTTATTTCAGAGAAAACAGTGGTAATGCTCCCAAAGATAAGCTAATGTTGCTTTTAGCTGGAAACTGTGGGTAATGTAACCCCAAACCTTTGCTGGTACACCATTCCAGAACCCCAAGGCCCTTGGGTCATGCTGAAGAGGGTATGGCCTGCTTGCTACATGGCATTCAAATCCTATAGCTGATGAAGGGAAGTCTTTTATACAAGGCTTCTTTGACTGAAGATGCTGTGGACATCTTTCTGCAGCTTCCAGTTACGAGTAATATCTGTGTGGTCTTCTGGCATTTCTGTCTTTATTGCAGCCTCTGTATGGACTTACCACCATCTTCAGAGCATCCCAGCTGATGTAAAGTCTCTGCTGTGCAGTGCTGACAAGATACAGTGCTTTGATGAAGGAGTCATAGGAGTTTTTACCATAAAGGCAGCCGGTGCACTGGTCAGCCTTGGGAGTGTCACCACATGTGAGGACTGGGATAGAGAGGAATGGCTCCTCAAACTTTGTGCTGACTTTAAAGGTTCTGAGAGGGTGGTGATTCAAAGCAGTCTTTTACTTCCTAAGGAGCCTGGAGTTAGCAGAGCACAGTAAAAATGCTGAAGAACTTTTAGTATCACTAATGAAGAGCAAAGGACTTACTCTAAGAATGACTTTCAAATGGACAGTCATTATTGGTCTGAAGCAAGGGAAACAGGAGCTCCAGTATCTGAATGCTGAATCCTTAAAAGGCAGATCACACAGACGTGATTTTGCTGTACAACAGCAGGACCGTGACTTGAACAGAAGCACTGAGAACACACAACTATGAGCAAAATCTTGCTCAGGCTGTCAGCCCCAAGGCCATGCTTCAGTGAAATGTGAATAGAAGCTCATTTCGTTTTTTTCATCTCACAGCTTCCTAAGAGAGTTCTTAGCTGTCCACTTCTGGGGTACCTAGTGCCAAGGAGACTGTCTGCAAGTGTCCTGAATTTGGACACTGGATGGATCTGACAACTGTTTCCCTCACACCTGGCCTGGCACCTCCTGCATTCCCCACCCACCACCCCAACCCTTCACTGGTGTGCAATCAATTAAAAAAGGCTTTGCTTTTATGTTTCAGTAGATGTTAAGTGCATTTATTATGCACCTTTCATACATTATTTCAACCGTGTATTTTTATTTTATAACAAGGTCACTGAAGCAAGATGTAATTTTAAAAAATCTAATACCATATGTGTATTGTACACAAACATGCTCACCAATGAGTTCACGGAGAATTAAATAATTAGGTGATTGGTGTTTTAAATGTCTTCTATGACACAGACATCCTCTGTAGATATCAAATGGATTTTCAGACCTTTGAGTAATTGGTTGAAATTCTTGGATAAGCTGAGACATGTTATTATTTTTTCCATTTAAAATAATGGAACACAGAGTCCTGCAATCCCAAATCTGCTCTCTGGCACTCTTTCAGGAATAGACTGGATGCGAATAATGAGATGCATGAGTACAAAAGAGCTGTGGAAACTGCAGAGTGTCACATAAATGCAAACTATTAGTGGTTTCAGGTAAAATCAGAGAATTAACAGAATTTCTCTGATGCTGGGAAGAGCCTTCTTGGGACCCACCTCGGCCACTGAGAGGACGGGGACCCAGACGGAGGCCCAGAGGCGCGAGGCTGTGTAGGCAGACTCAGTGCCGATATCCCGGTCCTGGTATGGGCACTTTCTTCTCCCCTGTGTCATCTACCTTTAAAAATATTAACAGTTTTCTGGTGCTGGGAGTGAACTTTAAAAAGTTCATTTTAAAACTTTGAAATTATCGGGCGATTATAATAAGGACTCTTTACGTTGCTCTGAACCTGGCTCACTATAGGGGACCCACTCGGTGTCCGCTGGTGGGGTCAGAATTCCGAGGCTGGCCATCAAAGCTCATCCGGGTCACTCCTCTCTCGTGAGGGCACCCAGCGGCTTAGAATCACCTCCTGCATTCGACCAAAACAAAAAGGTGACCGACTTCAACAGACATGAAAGCACATGCTGGGCATGGGACATGCGGCTGCATTTCACAAAGTGCTGTCTACATGCAGATGGTAACTGCCTCCATTTCTTGAACTGAAACATGTGGAGAAAATGTGAACGTAGCCAATACAAACCTTATGTGCCAATAGTATCTGGCGTAATCACGCAAAGATTTTAAACATTAAGCTGGTCTCAGCTGTACTTTTCTATAGCATGTTTCAGGAGCAGAGGGCCAGTATGAAAGCTAGTGTGTAGCCTTACCTCCAGGTCTAACATGGGCTATATATTTGGTCAGCCCTGAGAGGGGAGGAGGGAGGAAAAAAAGGCCAACCTAGTGGGATGAGCAGGACAAACTGGATGCGTAAAGCGTTGGGGCCCTGGGACCGACCAGCGGGCCTATAGTGGGATGGGGTGGTGTAAACAGGAGGAAGGGCGCAACGTTAGAAGCCGAGGAAACAATGGCGTGCTGGGTATGGGGGACATGAGACAGGGCGAAGGGCAGAAGCAGCAGCACGCATGCGGTGACCGGGTGATGACCTGAGCAGCCTTGGAAGACACAGGGGGACTCAGCTTGACACCGCATGCCAGACGCCAGTCAAGAAGTCCAAGGAGAGAGACCACAGAGACACGTCTACTCTCTGGGACTGAGACCCAGGAGAGGTGTCCACCTGGCCCAGCAGGTTCAGAAACCAAAGGACAAAGCAGCAGCCGGAAGGAAGCGGGGTGAGAGTGGGTTTAGCGGGGAAAGTGCCTGAGAAGGCCTGTCACCAAGGAAGGTTTTTAATTCTTTCCTCAGGACCCCATGTTCCAAGGGACAGGACAGGGTGGACAGAATCTCTGGGATGACATGAATTTGTATTGGAGGTCACCTACCTGAACTCGAATTTGTTTCATACATTCAGGTGACTCCATCTCTTTGTCACTCATAGTAGACGGTTTAATCAAATAGCACAGCAGAAGTTCCTATTGAGAAATGAAAAGAAATCTCTACATACCACCGAACAGTTACAGTAATTTGGGGGCACCAGCAGGAAGGGCAGGCGGTCTCCTCCCTCTCTGTGCTTCTCGGCACTCACAGAGCCCATGGGTTTCCTCCCAGAACACAGCTGGGCCGGCAGTGTAGACTAAGGACCTGCCACTTAGTCTCTGTTGACATGGCAAGAGAATTCAAACAGAGCAGATATACTGATTATAAACACCATTTAAAATATTAAATACATGCTACGAGTCCCATAGAAGGGGCATACAAATTCTGGGAACAGTACTTCTACAGGCTGAAGCTACTCCTACAGGCCAAAACCTGAGGAACTTGACCTGCACTCAGTCATGGACTCTGCTGGCCTTCGGGGCTCACTGCCCACCCTCCCTTGAGCAGCAGAGACAGGGCTGCAGGGAACCACGTGTTTTCAGTTAGCCAATTACTGAATAAGAGAGAACACACAAGGCTTTGGTTCTTCACAGTCTGGCTATACGATGAAATTACCCTCCTCTCTGACAGCGGCAGGATATAGCAGAGCACAAGCCAGGAGGTCAGACGGCTCTGGGCTTACATCCCAGTTGTGCATGAGCTGCACATTCTTAGGTTTGTCATGCAGTATCTCTGACTCTGATTCCTCTCCCTTAGGATGAGGATAACAGGGTGGTGAGAAGACATGTGAAGTGTTTAGCAATGAATATCAACTCCCTTCCTCTTTTCAAGAGATCTGCTAACTTTGAGAAGAAATGAGTCAGTTTTGACTCCTCTGTGAACGTGTGTGAGGGAAGTGGAGAGCCTGTGCTGGCTGTGTGCGCCCACAGCCCTGGGAGGAAGGGCAGCGCTCACATACATCAGTCACTAGGGGTAACTCGGAAACTCACCTCCTGGAGCTTAGCACCAGCGGGTGGTGGCAGGGAACGTGACAGAAGGACGGCCTCTAGCCGTCTCCCAGGACTTCACTGGCAGAAACCCTTTGAAGTTCCTACAAATGACCTATGATGCTACTACATTGAAGAAAAAAAGCCCAGCCGTTTCAGTGATGGGTAAATGCCAAAGCTGATGTGTTACCTTGGAGACATTAACTGACACTCTGCTTAAGGCAGCCAGTGACTTCCAGCTGAAAGGCCTGCGAAGAGAGCCCCTGAACTGGTTGTCGACTAGCTCAACGATGACAGAGTAACTGGAAGACAGAGTAAGGGCATTTTTAACAAGGAAAAGCATGAAATCAACTTTTTAAAAATAATACTGTTTTTTTTCTACCAAGAATGAAGATACAGAAAATAAAACATACATCATCTGATCCTAAATTCCCCTAGACTGCTACTCAGAAAAATATTAAAGTAAAATTCACTTTATGTCACAAACTTCCAGGCTGATTTCAACATTTACAGGAAAAGAAACCAGAAATAATTCTCCCAATGTGAAAGCTGTGAATACACTCAACTGTTTAGAAACTAATACTCACTGATAATAAGATGAACAATTACTATACAGATTAACTCAATGTTTAATACTAAAGCATGTGTTACCATAACCTATTTATTATCTTATATACAGTATAACAATATTTGTATGAAGCACAGAATACAGTATCTATCCCTGTCAGGCCAAGAGGAACAGGACTAATTGTTCTTATGGTGCTGAAAATTATTTTTGTGTGTGTATTTTTTTAATTGAAATATAGTTGATATACAACAGTATATTGGTTTCAAGTATACAATACAGTGATATGACAGTTACTCACATTATTAAATTCTTACCCCAACTAGTATAGTTACTGTCAACATAGACATTCTCTATGCTGTACTCTCATCCCTGTGACTAATAAATATTGTGACTGAGATTTGTGCTGTGGTGCTGAAAATTAAATTGGTGGTCACAAATTTCCTCCTGCTCCTTTAAAACATTAACTTATTTAAAAATCACTACAAACCTTGCGTGGTAAAATGGAGGGCCTTTTCGATACAACACTGCAAAGAACAGAAAGAAAACATGTAATAGCTCAAAATCAAAATCTTATTAAGTTTTTCCTTTTCCAAAGGGACATAAACACCCAAGTATCTCTATGTGAGTAATTTGCAATATGCCCCATGGTCTATTTTTAAAGCCCAAACTGTTCTGCCCGGGGCAAAATGCAATTAGTTAAGCAAATTTGTTGCCAAGACCCTAACACCCTCATCCTGCTACCACTGACTTCTATTCCAAATTCAAGTACTCTCCAGAGTGAGACTGGGAATTATGTGAAGCCAGTGAAATTTGTATAATGTGGACCAACACTTTGTTATACATTTAGAATCAGTACAATTATTCCAAGGGTCTGAGCTATTCTGGCCGGGTACCAACTTTGGTGTTGGTGCTGGAGGTGACTAAGACTCACACCTATTTTTAAGAAATTCAAAGTCAGATGGGGGAAAAGGTCATGTAATCATACAGGTCACTCGGGAGATCTGTCTGCTCTACTAATTCAACCCGTGAAGGTCAAGAGCTGCCGCCCGGTGAGGGAGCCGGTGGCCTGGGACTCTGCCACTGCGCAGGGAAGCCTTCAGAGCGAGTGTGCGGTAGGAAGCAGCTACCTATTCACAAACCCATCTCATCGCTCTCTCTGCATGTGGCCAGGCCACGTCTCTCTGCCTCCCAAGTGGCCAGGCGTAGTAGGCTGAGTGTCACGTGGCACTTACAGGCTGGCCCATGTACTTGTTCCTTTTTGAAGGTGACCTTAGAAGCTGTGTGGTGAAGACCCTGGAGCCACAAGGTAGAAGCCTGGGCTCCTGAAGCACCCTAGGAGTTGCTCTGACTGCCTCTCAGAGACACTGGTTTGGGATTTCACATGAACACAAATTAACTTCTGTTGTTAAGCCCCTGAGATTCAGGGTTATATGTAACTGTAGCTATAGGAACTACCTTAACACACATACTTACACTGTAAGCTCTTGGCTGTCTGTGTGTGAAAACCAATGCGGAAATTCTGATCCCTTTGAGGAACTGATAGAATTTTCCTTTTTGGTCATATCAAGCCTGTACCTAATCATGCTCCTTTTGGCTCAGGAATCCCAGAGAGAGTCTGCAGCATGAGGTTAGTAAGGGTGTAGGACCCACGGACAATACAGTGACCCTTCACCTAGTCTGCATTTTATTCTGTTGCTAGTCTTTATTTTTCATGGTCATACTTCCTTTTTATTATGTATTTCCTATTTAAATTGTACTTAAAGTATTTGGCAAGTCAGCTCAAATCCACTGTGACAGGGCACAAATTTAAGTAAACATACAATTATCAACTTTTGAGGTGTGGTGTAGTGGAAGGAAACCTTGTACTGGGAGGAAATTGAATTCTGGAGCTGTTTCCTGCCCAGTCCCTGGCAGGCTTAGCTGTATGACTTTAAGCAAATTATTCACTTATTTGAACCTCAGTTTCTAAAATCATAAAATGAGGACATAAGGGGAAATTAAGATATTTTCTATCCCTCAAATACCATTATCTATGATCAATTATACATCTTCAATCTCATGTGCATCTGCAACATTACACAGCTTGAAATCACCTCAGATGACCATGCTGGAGGTACAGAAGTCAGAAACAGGAACACTGGTGTCATATAGACCACAGAGAGCGCCTTGTGTTTCAATCTCTTTATTATGAAAAATGAGGGTAATGATAAAGACCAAGGTCCTGGCACAGTGGCTAGCATAAAGCCAAGTACACATAAAGTTATAGCAGCCTCCTTATCCATGGGGGAGGCTTTTCAAGACCCCCAGCGGATGCCTGAACTGTGAATAGTACTGCATCCAAATATACTGTTTTTTCCTACATGCACACACCTATGGCAATGTTTAATTTAAAAATTAGGCACATTAAGAGATTAACAATAACATTAAAATAGAACAAGTAAAACCATACACTGTAATTATAAAGTTCTGTGATGTGGCCTCTCTCTCTGGTCCTCCCCCTTGTCATGATGTGAGATATGATGTGCTGCGATATTAAATGCCTGCGGGAGGAGATGCGGTGAGGTGAAGGACGTGGGCACTGGGACACGGCGTTAGGCTACTGCTGACCTGATGAAACGTCAGGAGGGTCCTCTGTCTGGATTGCGGGTAACTGCAACCTTGTTAAGTGAGACTGCGGATAACCTGTTTCTATGGGAACAGCAAGAATGACTGTGTATTCAAAGGGAAAAGTGAAATCATTTTATAAACTTGCTTCCGTAGTAGAAAGATGAAAGCTTCAGAAGTCTAAGAAACACCGGGCATTTGACAGTAAAGGCTAGAAGACAGGAGCAGACGGAAAGCTCTCTGTCACAGACAAAGGCCAGGACACGACGGTGAACTCGGGTGCCGCTGGATCGCTGCAGGCCACGCGGCTAGTCTGTCCCTGCAAGTTACTCGGCCATCACAAAAGCAAAGATGTAATTTTACACAGACACCTGCTGCCAGCCCTTCAGCTAAACAGTCAAATTCAGTATCACCAGGAGCAGGGCAACCTGACATCATGTACCTCCTGATGTGGCACAGAAAGTACACACATCATTTATGAGGCCAAAAAATGATGAGTTTCAGTCTAATCATGACACAGTCAGTGTATTTAGGATGTGGGACATGTTACAGGACTGTTCAAAAACAGCCAATGCCATGATCAAGAAAGAAAGAAACAAGGCAGAGGGACAGCATTAGATGAAGAGAGACCAAACGGACTACAACTACGTCCCCCAAAGCCACATCCACATCCTGATCCCTGGCGCCTGTGAGCGGGACCTTACTTGGAGAATGGGTCTCTGCAGGGACTGAGCGATGCAGCTGCAAGCCAAGGCCTGCTCGGTGCCACTAGCAGCTGCAAGAGGCAGGGGATGGTGTTGAGGCCCTGGAGGGGGCACAGCCCTGCTGACTCTCCGATTTCAGTCTCCGGCTTCTAGAACCGGGAGAGAATACATTTCTGTTGCTTTCTGCCCCCAGTTTGTAACAGTGTGTTATGGTGGCTCTGGAAAAGAGAAGAGATGTGACAGATGGAAAGCAAATGTGATAATGAACCCTGACTGAAGCCTGTATTAAAAAAAAAAAAAAAAGAACAGCCATAAAAGCCATTTTGGGGACAACTGGGAAAATTTAAATACAGACTGAATATTTCAATGGTATTTCTGAATCACTCTCATTTCTTAGGTATTATACGGCATATAATTATGTAGGAGAAAGTCCCTACCCTTTGGAGCTGCACACAGAAATTCCTATGGGTTACATGTGCAAATGCAGGAACGTTAACAAAAATACTTAAAAAGTTTGACTAGAAAAATAAGCCAAGAGGGTGGTTCAGGAAAGACCTGAATAGGGAGAAGGGGAGAAGGCCCACCTCCCGGTTCTGTGGAGAGTATGAGCTGCTCTGGTGCCCCTCCTGGGGGCAGGACCAGCTGCCAGTCTCTGGGCAGGATGCCATGACCAGGGACTGTACTTTCACCTCCAGAAATTCTGTAACTCTGCTGGCTTCAGAGGGCTCCCATTATTCCACTTATTTTATGATTCTAATTTGCAGGGAGCTGTGAAATTGCACGACCAGACTCAGTCAATGTGAACTCCAAATTGGAGTGTGTGGAAAGGAGGCTTAGGGGTAACCAGATCTTTAGTCAAATCAGCCAGTAAGTTGCCTGCATAAGACAAAAATATAGACCTGGAGTTTGTCTTTAGCTTTCTGGCTGGCAACAATGGTTAGGTGTGGTGGGAAGTACATGAAGCCTGGGCCCCGACAGCCCTAATCTCTGTTCACTAGCTGCGGGACCCTTGGTGCCTTCTCTGACCCTCTGAACCTCAATTTCCTCAGCTATAAAAGGAGGCGAATCCCACACGCCTTACAGGAGTATGAAGATTAAATAAGATGAGAGAAGAGAAGCACCACAGCCCGGAGCCTGATGGCCACAGCGGCCGGCAGCCACGGGAGCCTTTGGGTAGGGAAGGTAAGCAAAGGCTCCCACTTGGTTTCTAGTCTGGTTTTCACCAGTGGCGATCAAGGTCAACCAGCTCGGCAGCTGCCCTTGATGTGAGATCCGTATCACTCGTTCCAAGGACTGCTCCTGGAATGAAATCTGATGGACAAGATTTATTCAAGGGAAGGGTTTCCCTGATAAGATGGGAGTTTCATAATGGCCCTTGGTCATGAGTCATTACCTATGTAAGCAGAAGTAATTGTTAGGCGAGCATGTCCTGGGCTTCACCTGTGCTGGCAGTCCTGGGGGCTGTGTGACGAGGCCAGCAGCCTTCCAAATGACAAGGGGATTGTTAAAAACCAGCAGGGCCTGACCAGCTGCGCCCAGAGAAGAGGTAGTTTAGAAAGCCACTCCTGTCATCCCAGGTAGCACTGCCTGTGAACCCTCACTAGAGAAGGAGAGGTGAAGTCACACCCTTCCTGCTGCTGGGCCAGAGACCTGGTCTCCCATACACTATACAGCGGCTTGAGTGCACGATATGGCCCAGCAGGGGCAAAGGCCTCTGGGAGCTGGGAAATAGTATGTGATTAATTTTTTTCCCCTCTTTAAAAAACAAACAAACCTGTCTATCCATCCTTTCATCCATCCTTAAAAGGCAGTTTTTCAATTAGGAAAGTCCTTTCCATTCATTACCTACAAACAGGCCTGGTATGTGGAAAATACATGAGATAAGGAATGCTTAGAAGGCACCAATGAAGGTCACTTTCCCCTGCAACTGAAAAAAAGTATTTGTTTACATGAAGAAGATGCTGTTATCTGCACTATGTGATGAGCAAACGGAAGCCTGGAGGGATGAAGTGGCCTGCCTGAGGCCACAGTGCTTAGAGGCAGAGCTGGCTGTGAACCCAAAGAACCCTCTTTTCTTTCCCCCAAGCCCCTGCCTAATGCATCCCTGCAGCCTTCTCGACTGCAAAGTTCTCCTCAAATCTTACCCATAGAGTGAGACAGTTGGAGAAGACCTCCAAGTATTTACACTGAGCGGCTCTTCTTCCAGCAGCATGGAAAGGAGAAGAGGCCCGGAAGCCAGGGGAGAGAAATGAAGCAGGCGCATCACTTATTTAAACAACGGGATGATTACCTGAGACAATGATCTGGAAACCCAGCGAACTCATCTCAAGCTAATGCTGATTGTTTGGGTGGTAAGCCTAGTTAGGATATCTGCACAGGAAATCCAGGTAAGGAAGAAACAGAAGAAACCATTTATCTTAGGGAGGTGGGAAATTCTTAACCTTTTCTTGGACCCCTTTGAGAAGGTAATGAAAGCTCCGGCCTCTAGATGCAGAAAAACACACCAGTCTACAAACACAGTACTTTGAATAAAAGTTCAGGGGTGCTGGGCCCTGATTCTAGGTTAGGCACACTTGGGTATTTTAAAGGTGCAAAAATATGGGACAAGTATGTGATAGAGCTCAAAAATCCTCAAGGGCCATGACTTCTAGAAGGTATCTTCTCAAACATCCTGAATTTTTGTTTGAACCTCATGAAAAGTTCTGAAAAGCACCTGGGAAGCACCCCACTTGGCAGGTATGGGGCAGGAGTTTCAGGGACTTCCTAAAGGAGTGGCTATCCCTGGAAGGGAGACCAAGGACCTGTCCTCACTCACCTGAGCGCATGGCTTTAACACAAGGACAACTCCAGATTTATCCCTCAAGGCTCTCCTGTGCTCCAGAATCACCTATCTCTGCAGTATCTCCACTGGACTTTTTAATACGTCCAAAACACAAATCCAAATATCTGGGTGTTATCCCTCCTTCCTCTTTTACTTGCAAATTCTATGTCCTCCGTCTGCAGGGCTGGCCAGGCTCAGCGTCCCTACTAGCCTCTCTGCTTCTATTTTTGCCCCCCTGCAGTCCATTAGGAAGAGAGCAGACAGAGGGTCTTGGTAAGTCATTATCTTGAGTCATTCCTTTGCTTAAACTTTCCCAAGACTTCCATTCACCAGGATAACATCCAAAGTCTTGGCCAGGCCGTCCATGATCTGCCCCAGCCTAACCCTCAGACACCACCTCATGTCACCCTCCCTGATTTCTACGTTCTAGACACTGTCTTCACTCTGTTCCTGGCACTTGGCCAAGCTCATTTCTGCCTCAGGGCCTTTGCTGTTCACTTGCCCAACATATTCTTCCCCAGATTCTCAAGGCACCTGTTCCCTCACTGAAGTCACATCTCTTCAGAGGCCTTTCCTAACCACCCTACTAGCTTCCTTTACTATCTCTGCTTCATTTTTTTTCCAGTACTTAACAGAGAGTACTGCATCACGTATTTATTTGCTTGTCTTCCCCGCCAGAATGTTGGCAGCCCCAGAAAAGCAGCTCCATGTCTGCCCTGTTCACCCCTGTATTTGTGGTGCCCAAACAGTCCTGGCCTGCAGGAGGCCCTCGGTAATTATCTGTTGAACAAAGCACTCAACTGGTCCAGACTCCTAACTTTAAGTCAAGATCAGAGGAGGCATTTCTTTGCAGAAGTTTCTAAGAATCTAGGCTCCAGATTTCAAAGCCGTGTTCTGTAAGTTACTGGCCCTGGAAACTATAAGGGACAATGACCCATTCCTTCCAAACGGTAGTCTCCAGAAAAATGAAAAAATGAGGATAATAAAGTGTCCATCGCATAGGACTGCTGTGAGGATTAAGGAAGATAATTAATGTAAAACATTTGGTACAGTGCTTAACATATAGGAAGTGCTCAATAAATGGAGGCTGTGATTACTATTCCAATTGTATGACTATCCTCATTTCCCAGTTGAGGTGACTGGGCCCTGTGGATTAGGAACTACCCCGTATCACACGACCACCCGGCTAGTGAGAGGTGGGGGCTAGGGCCTGGGTGTTGCAGAATTCTCTTCTGAGATGACAGAGCCAGCAAGAGGACAAGCCTGACTCAGGGCGCAACCTTGTGCTCCCAGGCTCTTCTCCTAGATTGTCTCCTCTCTCTTTCCGGACATAGTTTCTACCCCAACCCAGATTTTCTTATCTGAGCCAGAAGGAGGATATCATCGTAGAAATGATCAGCAATGGTGCATGTCACCAGTTTGGTTCTCACCCCAGGACCTGATGCAAACCCTGGTTCTCACACCTACCAAGCCAAGAATTACTTACGTAAATCTGTTCCATACTTAAGGCCCACCTTGGGCACCCAGCCCTTGCTTCGAAAGTAATGGTACGCCATGTACGTAGTTCTGAATGTGGGCTGAATTCTGGTGAAAACTTTCCAGAGTTTCACAATCGTTAAAGGCTCCTAAAGTTATTGGGGAGAAAAAGGGCATTGTTATGTCTGTGCTCACTCATCATTCAGCCAGAGACTCAGCCTCTATACTAAGTGGAGCTGAAACAGTGACTAAAATCCACAGGGTACCCAAAACGGGGATTTAACTATTAGTCCAGACCCGCTCTGCCTGGTGGGGCCTCCAAGACTTAGTACCAAAAACAGAAAGTAAGCTACCTCACTAATTCTGGATATGCTGGGTTAAACGAACTAGGTAAATAACATAAATTAATTTCCTCATTTTTACTTGTCATCTTTTTAATGTGGCTACCAGGAAATGTAAAATGAACCACACAGCTCCCGCCTGAGGCTCCAGACTGTATTTCTGGCGGACAGCACTGTTCTACAGGGCTTGGAAAGGGCCTGAGACACTGACATCAGAGGTGAGAAGGAAGCAACCAAGTGGAAAGGGTGGGGGTGGCTCTGGATGAGGGGGTGGGGGCTGCAGAAGAACATTCCAGGCAGGGGATAAGTGCGGGTCCATGTTCTCAAGTGGGACAAGTCCCCTGAAGCCAGAGGGCAGCATGTTCCAAATGCTTCCCAGACTAACAAGTAGCTCCTCTTAAGTTGCATCACATTCAGAAAAGATAAAAGTAATTTTGTAAAAGCTTAAAGGAAAGATGCCCCAGTTAGCCTATGAAACTAGAGAATTTATCATCTTAGGACACAAATTAATAATCCAACTCTCTCTACTCAGTGAGATTTGCTCAGTTTGTCTCAGCCTAAAATTTTAGTAACATAAATATGAACTAGTTTTTTTTTTTTACAGTTGTTCCTAAAGAGAAAATGCCATACATGTGTGGTCTTCAAATTCCACTTTGAGGAAACCCTCAAACTTCCCCCACCAAACAGGCAACAGAGCTGTAGAGGAAGCTCAATTTCCAATATGGACAGCCCACAGTATTGTGGAGGTTGAATATTCCATGTAGCAGCGGCAGTGTCCTGACAAATTCCAGCTAAGGCCCAGGAGAGGAGTCAGGGTGGGCTGAGAATGGCCACCATCTGGGAAAACGAGTCACTGTCAGCCAGACACCCATTTCCAAACCACTGGAATTCTTATGGAAAACATTATATAATTGGAATTTGATGAATGGTACAATTATGTACTCCCAAGAACAGAATAAAATGTACTTTTCTCTGTTCTATTTACTGCTCTGCTTTTCTCTTTTTAGTTAATTGCAAATAGTCACATGGTCCAAATTTCAACAAGTGCAGAAAGGTACTGTGAAGTCTCTCCTCCCGCCTGTGTGCCAGCTGTTTCTGGGACTACCTTCTTCTAAGGGCAGAGGCTGCACAAAAAAATCAAGGGCTTTGGAGCTACCCTGACATGGGTTCAAATTCTAATTCTAACCAGACTAGCTGTGTGACCTTGGGTGAGTTAGTTACTTGCTCTGAGTCTCAGTTACCTTATCCATAAAATTCTTACCAGGCAGAGGTCAGGACTAGATGTATTACATGTAAAGTACCTAACATGCAGCTTTATGGAAGTAGGTGCTCAACATTGGTGGTTTTAATTTTTGTTGTTAGTTTTTAGTAGTGTCCTGACACAGATTTCCCACTCATAAGGCAACTGCTCTTCTCGTAGTCTCTGGGATGAAATTCAATCTAAAAGGGTCAAAGCTGGCTTTTGCATGAACAGTTCCAATTCAGGATGCAAAACCCAAACCAGAGAAAAAAATTTAATTTCATTCTTATTCAGTGAAAGTAAACACATTTGTATTAAAGCCACGTGGAAATTACTACAATCTGCTTTAACATCAGGAAAATTTTAAGTGGACTGTATCTACAAAAAATATCTTACCTTCTCATAATAAATACTCAGACAACCCAGAGCATAAACCAGGAAGAAGGCCTAAAATCAGAGAAGCAGAAAATGCTCATTAGAAATTTCTCCACATTCTTGAAAAATTACATATTGATTTCTCTTTGCCTTAAATACAAACATCCTTAAATCATCAAAATGGTCACATATTTTTAATATAAATGGCTCATTCCTATTTCAAGGATTAAAAAAAAACCTAAGAAAATGTGAATGTCACAAATTGGTTTAACGTCAGCAAAAAAACCCTATATATGAAAAAAAATTTGTATGTATTTTTTCCTTAAAAATCCACACAACTAAACTAAAAAATGATGTAAACAGCCGTAACAATAGAAACCTTTGCTCACTGGATTTTCCTCTTAAAATTAAATGAGCATATTAAACTGAGAAAAAAATTTTTAGAAAGAAATACACAGAAATTTGTGAACAGTGGGCAGCACAGATTGGGCTCACAGAACAAAGTATGAGTTGTTCAGTCACCCTTGCAGTAAAGTGATTTCCTATTAAGGCAGCCCCACCTTTTCCACTAACTTCATTATATAGTAACAACATGTTTTACTCGTATGGGGAATGGCAAAGAAAGTGGCCCTAGTTGAGTAAAGTCACACTTAGATGGAAATAAAGATAGCTTTCTGGTAAAACTAGGGCAGTGTCGGACACTGATACCACCAAACGGGCCCCGGACAGACTCGTGAGTTCTGTACCCAGCAGACAGTGACTCAGTGGGGGCTGTTAGTTAACCTGGGTTAATTTCTTTTTCGAACTGAGGACGGAGATTGGTTTACAGCCAAATGACAAATAACCTGCTGCCGCGGCCACCGGGCCCGGACGAGGACCCTGCGTGTGCCGCACAGAGCTGCGGGCATGTCCGGGGCCCAGCATGTTCCGACCAACAGTATGTGCCCGGCTGGCGTCCTCCTCACCCCGGCCCGCGCGGAGGACTAGGAGAGCACAGGCTGTGCAGGTGTAGGTGCTTCAAGCAGCGCCCCGGTCCTGCTCGAGGGACACCCCGGTGACCCCTCAAACTGCGCAGACCCACCCCACCGTCGTTCTCTCCTGGCCACCTGATGCTCTTTACAGCAATGGTTCTCAAAGTGTGGTCTAGGGGTCCTGGGAGCCCCAGGACCCTTCAGGTCTCAGGTGGAAACTTTCACGGTATTAGGGCATTATTTGCCTTGTTCATACTCATTCTCTCCAGAGGCCCCAAGACACATGACGTCACAGCAGAGTGAACACAGGTGCGGGAAGCCAGCTGCCTTCTATACAGCCAGACCTTAAAGTGATCTGCGAAAGCAGAGAACTATGCCATTCTTCTCACTGAATTTGTTTTGCTTTCAAAGAAATTTTTCCATAAAAATATTATTTATGTTACTGTATAATGGGCTTAATTACCATTATTCAAAACAAGTTAATAAAAAGGTCTACAATTTTGTTTCAATTTATAATTTGGCATACACGGACACATATAGTCCAGTGAAAACATTCCCTGGGGTCCTCAACAATATTTAAGAGAGTAAGGCAGTTTGAGAACCACCACATCAGCTTTCCCCAGGTCCCAGTGAAGAGCTTCTTTCAAGTGGCAGGTAGCTACCTGCCGTCCCTATTCTCGGGGCCCAGACACCACTTCCTGCCCGCACGTCTGCAAAGGCCCCTTGCTCTTAGCTCTTCAGTCTGTCCTCCACAGCCGCCAGAGCCTTCTTCACATGTGAAGGTCACGTGGCTTCTGTGGCTGGAACTCTCGGAAGGGCTCTACTCCCATCTGCTTCCCACCACCTCCAGCCCAACACTAAGCTCGTTCCTGCCTTCACCTGTGTGACTGCTGTTCCCACAACTGGCAGGTGCTGCCCAGACTCAGGTCACTTCCTGGTGAGGTCTGCCCAGACACCCAGTTGAAGAATCCCCCATCCTGTCGTTTTCTTCAGAGCACTTACTTCTGTCTGAAAATACCTTTCTTCTATGTGTCTCTTCTACTTGGATGTAAACTCTGAGAGGGCAAAGACTCTACCTACTGTTCTTGGCCTACCATATCCAGCACACGATGGGGGCTCAGCGCTTGTGCTGGAGGAAGAGAGGAATAGGGCCCTGGATGCTGCCCTTGGTTCAGGCCAGACCACCGGGTCTCCCAAAGCAGGGCTCTGCAGGCCCGGCTCATTCTCCCAAGGATGCACACTGGGTCCCAGTTCTCCTTCCAGCTTCAGGTGTTAACCTTCCCAGGTGTCTACAATCCTGTTTTGACCTTTCCCCTTCCGGTGGTCCGATACTTATTAACACAGAATACCTTTGTTTTTCAGATGGACACAGATGGTGGCCAAAGATGCAGTGGTAAGGACAAAGGAACAGCCAAATCTTCTTTCATTTTCTCCCAATTGCCACTAGTGGTGCAGAAGGGTTAAGAGGGAGGATGAAGGCTGAGAGAGGACAGCCTGGGGCTGAAATCTCCATTAACAGCCAGAGCCCTGGGGGTATTCCTTAAACTCCCCCACCTCATCTATAAAATGGGGATGATAATGCCTCCTTAGTTCAAGATTTAATGATCGTAACTGGCATAAAGATTTTAAAAGCTATTCAAAGCACTTAACTGCTGATTCATTTTAGTGTCCCTCCCTTTCTAAACACTATTTAGATACTATAGCCTGGAAAAGTTCAGTCCAAATCCCTGCCTAGCAAGAAGTTCCTTCCTGGTATCTTGTTAAGTTCCTCAGAAACTTCCCGTTACGCATCAAACATATACTTCCCTAAGAACTGAGCCAATGCCTCATTTTTATTGGCCTAAAATGGCTCTTATGAATGTGTGCAAACTTCTCTTAGGCACTTACGATGGGCAGGGAGGATCTTAGTTCAGTTGACTTGGTTGTGTACAGAATTAAGTCATTGGTAGACGGGGGTAGACTGGGGAGGCTGGCGATTCCGTCCCTTGAGAGCTTGTTAGTAAGTTTTCACTTAGCGCGAGTAAGATGCAGGGCTGAGTTTCATGATGGTTTTAATCTAGTCGGGGCCCTCAGCACTGTCCAGGAAAAGCAGCTCTCAGGAACAGATCTCCAAGAAGCAGGTCCTTCAGTCAGCTGAGGTTGTGGCATTCTCAATCCCTGAGGAGAATGCTCTGAGTCACCGCAGCAGGGCTGCCCTGTTCCTGATGGACATTTATGGGAGCACATTAAACTGTACAAGTGGTGTGCCAAAAGTTGGTGACTCATTCAAAGGAAATCTGCCAAAACAGAACTGAGAAGCAAAGCTGGGTTGAACTGCAAGCTCCTTGAAAACTTCTGCAGTAGGTCTCTGGAATGTTCTCAGGAACAAAGCAGCTTCCAAGAACGCAGAACACCCTCAACTACTCACCTGTAACAGTGGGGCTGACCCCCAGTTTCTGATAGCTAAGACTTTCTCTCTGCCTACTGCTGCTGCCTCCCAGAGCGGAGTGGGCAGCAGGCTCCTAATGGCTCAGCCCACCCTCACAGGGATGCCGGCTTCCCTGTAATACCACCTGCAGTGTGCTGGTGCCACAGGACCATGTCAACCTCTCCTCATGGCCTACTGCCACTTCCAGAGCTGCGCTGCATGGAGAAGCCATCCGGGCAATCCCCGATTTATCCTTTCACATCCACAGGTATCAGCAACTCTTAGTCTTCCCAGATAGCTTGTGTCACTTTGAACCCCACCAGTTTCTGTGCAAATTCCATAGCTTGTACACATCCATTTAACAAACAATTATCAAGCAACTAGCAGATGTCAGGCATTGGGTATAAGCATGTAAGAGGAGCAACACCAGCACTACCTGTATACCACACAGTGCCTATCACACTGATATGTCATCATCCTTGGCTGTCTTTAGGACCAGAGCCATGTTCTGTTTATTTCTGTATTGTCAGTACTTACCCCAGTGCCTGGCACATGATCAATACCCAGTGAATATTTTTGCAAAATATTAATTGCAAAATAAAGAGTTCTAACTAGCTGCTCAATAGCTTTAACAAGCACCTTAATAATGATAATGACAAGAACAGTGGGCACTAACACTTACTCAGCATTTACTATATATCGGGCACTGTGTTGACTAATGACATGCATTGTTTAATTTCCAGAACAGCTTAAGAGCATGGTGTTACAGAATCCTCATTTTATAGAGAGAAGAAATCCGAGGCTCAGAGAAGCACCTAGAGACTGGGTATCCACAGCGCTGTCCAGTGGAACCGTCTGTGGTAGTGGCAATGACCTATACCTGGGCTGTCCAGTACAGGGGTCACCTGTAGCTACCACAGAGCCTGCAATGCAACTGGCACAAATGAGAAATAGAATTTTGAATTTTGTTCAATGTTAATTATTATAAACCAAACAGGCACACACAGTAGTGGCCAACTGTACTTGACAGGAGACTAAGGAAACACAGATCAGGCGATGGAGAGAATATGGACACATAATTCTCTGTGGACACATCTATGAAATGGCCAATGTGGGTGCACTCAACACACATTTCCTGAGACCTGCTTATATGTCAGGCTTGTGCTGGGCACTGCAGCAGCTACACAAGACAGGCAGATGCATGTCTGGAGAAGAGGCACACCCAAGGACCTGAGAGGGAGGAAGGGGTGCTGTCTTCAAGGACAGAAAGGACATCTCTGTGTACAGTATAAACATAAGCAAAAAAGGAGAGACTGAAAGTCACGTGAACACAGGACAGAGGAACTCCAAGTCGGAGGGAAAATACGATGCAGTTTTTAGCAACCCATTTATAGCCAGCTTTTGAGAATGTAGCTATTGCATTAGGAGAACACATATTAGTAATTCTGCAGAAGGAAACATCTAGAATCCATTTACCTAATGAGCAGCCATTACAAGCATGCATCAAAGCTCATTGAAAGCTGGTGAAACTCCAGGAATCCACTAAAAACCACCGAAGTGTACACTTTACATGGATGAATGGCATGGTATATGAACTGTATCTCAGTAAAGCTGTGCTCTTTTAGAAGATGGTGAGATTAGTAACATAATATTTGGCCAATCTGAAACGATGTGAAAAGAGGTGCTTGAAACCTCTCAGGAATCATACTGGGAAGGCCCTCCAAAATGCTCATCTTAAAATCAGTGAAATGAAAGCTGAGGGGTAGAATGTAGGCGAGCCTATTTTGGAAGCTTCCTATAGTTATTTCAATACCAAATTGCAATATTTAGTCACCGCTACTCAGTTGCTGAGTTCCATTCAGAATTGCACTCTAAGGTGGACACCTATGTGGTATTACCCAGGCCCAGAGACCAACAGCTGACAAGAACATGCTGCAAACATACCTCTTCTAGGCTGAGCTGCAAATATTCCAAAATCCTATATGGATTTCTTCTGCATATTAGTCTCTTTTTTTGTGTCAACTGAAGAGAAAGAAAATACATACAGAACAAATGGAAGCACTACATGTTATGTAGAGGAGACTGCATTTTAAAATGAATACTTTTCTTATAAATTTCCCAGATTCACATTCGTTCGATTAATATTAAATGATAATTTTTTATTACTTTGGGGAAAAAGTTTTATTTTTTTGGCTGGCATTTTATTTCCTTTCTTCTTTTCCCCTCATGAATTTTCCCTGCAGTTGTGATCATTTTATTGATTTTATGTGTTTTTTCACCCTACTGTACCTCACAAGCATGTGCCAAAGTTCTTGATGAACTTCGATCTAAAAGCTCTAGACAATACTTTTTCAAATGGGTGTTTCACAGACGACTTAAGCATTAGATTGTTTCTCCTGTTTAGCTGTTACAATAATTCTACGGCAACAGCCTCTGAGGTGCGTCCCGTACTGACTAGGCTCTTAACTGCTTCTTCCTGTCACGGCGACCTTCCCACTCCAGACCACCCCAATGGCCGTGCTCGAGACTGTGTAATTAGCACTGAATCTCTTTTCCTCCTAAACAAGGGGGAGAACATTATTGGACCTTCTTTCCTACACTTTTTAACGTTAACTTACTCACAGGCTTTGAAGTTTTAGTCGTAACAGCCCTCACAACTACTGAGCCACGAGGGCTGGGGTCCGTGCCTGCTGCTTCCCTGGAGGGTCTGTGGCGTGCTGTCCTGCACCACCTCTCATATACTGGGAGCTTCGCATGGGCCTGCTACCAGTTTTGAGGCAGGGACACCCCGGTTAGCCAATATCCCTTATGCCCCAAAAAGAGGGCTTTGGAGGAAGTCATTTTTCTCCTACTTACTTCCTCATCTGAGGCATCTCCCCTCTCGCTCCCATCGCACATGACCTCCTCCACCAGCAGGTACTCAGCCTCGGGCCTTCTCTCTCCAGCACAGATGATGCCCGCTGGTTGGCTGCCATCCTCAGGCTGGGCACTGCACTGGGGCAGGTGAACATCTTGTCTGCTGCGATGGACTTGGGGCAGAAGTGCAGCCACCTGTACCATGTGCTCATCCAAGCTGCTTGTCCTCAGCGGGCCATGCCCAGAGCCCTCTTGCAGGCAGGCTGGTGGCTTGCTGGGATCCTCCATGTCATCTGACTTTTCCGAGTCCCCGTTCATCGCAGGAAGTTTCTCTCTATCTGCCGGGCCTTCTGTTTGGGAGACCATTTCAGAGTCCAGTTTATCATGCCATGGAACCTCCTCACTCCTTACACAAGCATGCTCAAGTGGTTTTGTGTAGTCCTCGAGGAATCTACGCACTGTGCTCTCATCCTGCCCCTGCCTTCGCAGGAGCTCCGTGGCCCATCCTACGCGATGCTGATACCTGCAAAACGGAAATACTGTTAGTAACAACACTTCAATTTCAATATTAAGAAGACAATAGAGTGTGTAAAAAAGACAAGAGGGTAGTATGCTAAAGTGTTTACATGGCTCTTCCTCAATGGCAGGTCAATGTGTTCTGTATACTTTTCTGCATTTTCTAGCTATTCTGCAATAAACATGAATTACTATTGTTTATTTTTATTACAGAGCTTCATTCAATTTTCTTAATTTGAAAAAAAGCTGGCCCCAGTTTAGCAAAGTATGAAAATTTATGTAATTGAAAACTAGTGGACTTAGGAAAACTTAGGAAAATTTATATAATTGAAAACTAGTGGACTCATTTCCAAATGACTTAGGAAAATATGAAGAAAAATGGCCATCTTTTGTCAGGTTTTGTTTGGTATTATTTCAACTTTGGATATCACAATGTTTTCAGATGTATATCCCATTCATGATACAAAGAGGTTTTGCTTAGTATTGGAAAGCAAAATGAGAATTTCAATAAATATTTTTCAAGTACCTACTAATGTCTCCACTGCATATGGAAAGAAATGATGATGGCTACATACATATAGCCAAGCATCCTAATAGAAATGGCCCTTTTTTCCACAACAATTTTGAAAGTATATTTTAATGAGAAAATACATGCTTAGATTCTTAACCAGCAGGAAACCCCTGAACAATTCCCAAGTCACAAAAAGTTATAGGTAAGACAACAGGGTTCTGCTTTAGTGCAGAAGCATCAACACCTAGCAATGCTGTTGGGAAGCATTCGTGGGATGTAAGACCGCCAAACACTGGAAATGTGAACAGTGGGAGGGTTAGGACAGCGTGAGACTCAAGCACTTTACTCCTCTATCTATAGCAATTAGTCTGAAAAGCATGTAGGAAGACACAGGGCTTGTGGAAAGATTCACCTTGAGTAGAGATTCTGCCAGTGTCAGACACTGACTATATCATAGTTTATAAAATGCTACATCTCACACAGTTAGACAAGGAAGTTCGCTTCTTCTATATTTAAAAAAGAGGTGCCTGCTTAATCCTGATTCCCAGGAGACTCTCCAAGCTGTCTACATGCTGTGTGGGGATGAGCACACATTCCTCTATATTGGGAACTGTATTTTGAAGATTAAAACCTGGCAAGACTATGCTAATACCTAAGAGGCAGGAAAATGCATGGACCTTGGGATCACACACTTCATTTCAGCCCTGGCTCTGTCACGTATAAACTGTGTGACAAAGCCAGTTACTTAACATCTCTGCGCTTCAGTTTCCTCACCTGTAAGGATTGGGGTAATAGTGCTACTGCCTCATTTGGATCATGTTAAGTACTACTTTTTTTATCACTAGGGTAGAAAATGTAGCTGTCCATATGCCAGCAGTATCTTCTCTCATGATGAAAAGTACGGCCACTCTTGCACGTAGTCAGTGCTTTGCTTTGAAAGATCTGAGAAGAATTTTGCTCTTTGTCTCCCCTAAAGCACCAGCTCCCTAGGTTTCATGGGTCTATGAGTCTCTGTGATCAGGACAAAAACTTTTGTGTCAATGTGTATTTTTCTGGGGAAGGGATTGACTACTTTCATCCAATTCCCTGACTCAGAATATGTGAAAGAACCACAGAATTAAGGGTTCAATAGCTCCCTACTCTGAGCAGGTCTAGAACTGACAGCACAGGCAGGTCGCGGCTCTGAGCTGGGCAATGAGAGGTCAGGGCAGATGCGCGTTCCCGCTCCCTTACGCCATCACACTCCTTCACCTGTGAACTGGGCACGTTGGTATCTGTCTCATGGGGTTGTTCTAAGGATTAAAGGACACATGTCAAGTGCTCAGCACGTTAATAAGTGCTCAATAAATTTTTGTTACTACGTGACTGTGGAGTTTTTAGGAGATTTGAAAAACAAAATCATTTGACTTAATAATATATTACATTAAAAAAAATACAAATAGCATTTTAGTGAATGGGAACGTACACCTTGACTAAGAGCTCCTTGAGAGCAGGGCAGCCATAGGGACAAGTGTGGCACCAGGTCTGGGTTCTGGAACTGGCTCTTCTCTGTGATTCTGAGGTAAGCCACTTGTTTCTTTTTGCTCTTCTGCCAAATACCAGAGTCATATCTGCCTTCCTGCCTCATGACTTGAGAAGTTTGTTTATGAAAGCTCAACTGAGATGGTGGCTGCAAAAGCAGGTGGATGAAAGCCTCTGTGTAAGGCCGGTGATGAACGCAGCCAGTACACAGTGACTAAGACATACGGCACATGGGCTGCAGAGCAGGTGTCCTCACATGGGCTGGCAATGCCATAAAACACAAGCCCTGCTGTGATTAACCCCAAACACTGTTGGGGAAGCAGCAGGCAAAATAAAAAGTAAAGGTCAGAAAACATAAGCGGCGAGTGCAGAAGGAAAAGGCAGCAGCTGTGGGGAGCAGCAGTAGCGAGACTGGTGGAAAGCAGACTCATTTAAAGCCGCAAGATCCCCGCAAGGGACCATCTGCATACATCTCAGCTTGTGTTCCTATGCCCTTGCACACAACTCTCCATTTACAGAGAACACCCTTCTCCACCATCTTACTGTTCAAGGCCCATTTATCACTGGAAGTTCACAGCAAAACAGTTTCATCCAAGCATCGACCTTGAATAAGTTACTTAACCTCCTCTGGTTATGTTTCCTCACCTGCCAGAGACAGACAATAAGAGGACCTACACCTCATAGGAGTGATGCGGGGACTGGAGGAATTAATCCATAAATCTGTGACTAGCATGGCACTAGCACATGAGACACACTCGAGAATACCAGTGCGTACATCTATGCTACTGAGCTTGCTGTGTGTCAACTTCTCACCATCTCTGGAGCTGCATTGCCTGTGCTCATGTCCCCTTGGGCCAGCTCTCTGCAGGTTCCCTGTATATGGGATGGAAATGACAACTACCTCAAAGGCTTCTTGTTTTTCTTTTTATTTATTTTTTTATTAAGGTATCATTGATACATACTCTTACGAAAGTTTCACATGAAAAACAATGTGGTTACTACATTCACCCATATCATCAAGTCCCCACCCACACCCCATTGCAGTCACTGCCCATCAGTGTAGTAAGATGCCACAGAGTCACTACTTGTCTTCTCGGAGCTATACTGTCTTCCCTGTGACCCCTCCCTACACCATGTGTGCCAATCATAATGCCCCTCAATCCGCTTCTCCCTCCGTCCCCACCTATCCCCTTTAGTAACCACTAGTCCCTTCTTGGAATCTGTGAGGCTGCTTTGTTCCTTCAGTTTTGCTTTGTTGTTATGCTCCACAAATGAGTGAAGTCATTTGGTGCTTGTCTTTCCCCGCCTGGCTTATTTCACTGAACATAATATCTTCCAGCTCCATCCATGTTGTTGCAAATGATAGGATTTGTTTTCTTCTTATGGCTGAATAGTATTCCATTGTGTATATGCACCACATCTTCTTTATCCATTCATCTACTGATGGACACTTGGGTTGCTTCCACTTCTTGGCTATTGTAAATAGTGCTGCAATAAACATAGGGGTGCTCAAAGGCTTCTTGAGAAGATGGGCTGAGATGACATGGGTGAAGCCTACAGATCAGTAACTGGCCTCGCTGGGGAACCAGTGCCTGTCGGCTGTGATGATGATGGTGGTGATGGCGGCACCTAACCATAGTATTTACTATGGTTTACTTGTCTTCTTCTCCCACGAGACTATGAACCCCTTGGGAGTAGGGGTGGGCTCTTCTCCTTTCGTATTGCCAGCACCTACCCAGGACCTGACACATAGGCACCCACGCACAGTAAGTGCTGGCTGAACAGAGGAGCACAAATGAGGGAAATGAGGGGGGACCAGCAAGATCCTCAGGGCTGGTCCTCAAGGATTTAACTCTGCTGCCTGCGGCCATCAGGGCACCAGCTGGGGGGGGCCTGATGCTCACCTCCATAAAGATTACATGGAAGGTTCCCATCACCCAAGGCTAACTTTTGTTGGAAAAAGAGCAAAACCAGTTCAAACAGGGGTTGAATTTCAGTAAAGAAACAATGATGGTAAGTACTCAACATACAAAAATAGGTCCATGTCTCCTAAAATTTAACAAAATTGAGATTGGGATTGTAAGTGTTATGAACAAATAATGAGTCACGTGTTGATCTGGGGACATAACTTTCTAACAGGACTGTCAGGTATGTGGAAGTCCTGACCCGCTGGGCATGACCTGCTCTGGAAACAGGGTCTTTGCAGGCGTCATCAGGTAAGAGGAGGCCATACTGACTAGCATCCTTGTAAGAGGGCAGTGTGGACACAAACGCACCAGGGAGGCCACCATGTGATGACAGAGGAAGAGGCTGGAGTGACATGCCAACAAGTCAAGGAACACAGGACTGCTGGTCCTGCCAGAAAGCTACAGGAGGCACGGGAGGGTCCTCACTCACACCTTGATGTTGGACTTCTGGCCTCTAGAACTGTGCAAATAAATTTCTGTTCTTCTAAGCCACCAAGTTTGTGGTATTTTATTAAGGCAGCCCCAGGAAACAAATACAAGGACAAATAAAATTCTTGGAACGTTACCCTGAAGAGCTGACAAGGGCATAACCATCAGGTGGGGGGCTTTCTCCTCCACTCAGAACCTCAGGCATCTTCACGGCCAGCTCAGCTGTGGGCAGTGCCAAGCAGCATGCCCTCTAACGGGTGGGTTCTGTTGCACTTCTGAGTCCCGGTATTGGCAGTAGCAGCCTCCCCAGATGGCAGCCCCTCCTGGGAAGGAGGGTCTGCCAGGTTCTAGCTGGCCCCTTCCACAGACCAGAACCCGGCCCAGTCCCTGGCCTGGGTGACAGCCAGAGCAGCCACTGGGGTCTCCCTGGAGCCACTCCTCTGGACACAGGGTTACTAGACCTGTAACCAAAAAAGAGCTTTTGGATGCTACCAGTACGTGCTAGAAGCAAGATGAAAAACACTGTGGACTTCAGATATAAGCCAACGCATATATGGCCAATTAATATACAATAAAGGAGCCATGGATATACAATGGGGAAAAGACAGCCTCTTCAACAACTGGTGTTGGCAAAACTGGAGAGCTATATAAAATTCATATGGAACCACAAAAGACCCCGAATAGCCAAAGCAATCCTGAGAAGGAAGAATAAAGCTGGGGGGATTATGCTCCCTGACTTCAAGCTCTATTACAAAGCCATGGTAATCAAGACAATTTGGTACTGGCACAAGAACAGACCCATAGATCAGTGGAACAGACTAGAAAGCCCAGATATGAGCCCAAGCATATACAGTCAATTAATATACAATAAAGGAGCCATGGATATACAATGAGGATATTACAGCCTCTTCAACAACTGGTGTTGCCAAAACTGGACAGCTACAT